CACAAGCAGAACTTGACTTGTGCTAAATAAGACAAAAAAGTAGCTAAATATGAAAAGAATTAGTCAAGAATTTACATATATATTTTTTTAATAAAATTAAATAAAGGCATCGTTGGACTGTCATGCAAACTTTGTTATTTTTTATTACTTAGATTGACTTATTCTAAATTATCTAATGCTAATGTACAGTATTTAATTTATTTAAGATCTTGCTGTTTATTAATTATATATAAATAAAATAAAATTTCCTAGAAAGAAAGTGTGAATGATCTAGTGTTGGCCAAAAGTAGATCATATAATGTTTTTTACATATAAAAAGTTTAAACGTTATAATTCATGTAAAAAGTTTAAATATCATAATTTAGTCATGATATTAAATGATCTACTATTGGCTAATTGTCATGTGCTATTGACCCCATCGGCTCGTGGCTCCATGTTCGGCTATATTCGGCTTCAGATCTTTAGCCAAGCCATTTCTAGAGCCGATACTTTATTAGTAGACCCTTAGCCAAGCTGATAATCAGCTCGGCTTAGCCGATCAGCTTGTGGCTTAGCCTTAGCTGTTTGCATTACTAGGCATATTACAAAAGTGGTAGCCAGAGAATTTAAATGAGTAACTTTCTAGTTGGGTTATAGGTATGGCAGCTAGTGTAGAACCTAGGGCAGACTACTTAAATAGGCAACTAAAAGTTGCATATATAGCTAGTCGTACTCTTATTAGAAATAACCAGAGAGCTTAAATAGATAATCTTCTAGTTAGATTGCAGGTATGGTGGCTAGTATAAAACCCAGATAGACTACTTAAATTAGGCACCCAAAAGGTATACATGTGGCTAGTTGTATGCTTGTAAAATAGATATAATATCATAACTACCTGAATAAAGCTCATGCCAATAGCCTAAGTAGTCACCTTAAATATTAAAAAAAAAAAAAGCCTTTATAGTAAATTAATATTAGGTAATAAATATTATAGCTCTAATATAATTATACTAATATTTATATACTCAAGAAACTAATACTAAAAATTTATTTTATAATATTTTAATTCTTTTAAAAAAATTTGTTTTACAGAAAAATAGTCAAAAAAAACTCCTTCCCATACCCCTGTATTTCTATAAGTAAACAAAAATAATAAGCACTGCATGGAAAGAAACTATAATAAAATTAAATTATATTTAATTAAACTGAACTTATACAAAATAAAACAAACTAACAACAACAAAACTAGCAAAAGAAACAACCATCATCTTCTGAAACCTCCCACAACCACCAACACGGAAAGTGCATAGTCACTTCACCTAGTCAACAAATGCCACTTCAACAAATATGTCAAAAGTAATGACATGTCTATACACTCCCAAACCCCCAGTGTACTACAACAACACCAACATTAACAGATGAGCAGCAAACTCCAGAATACGAAATCAATTCAAATTCCTCTTCTCAAAATATGAATAGCAATATTGATAGCGAAGCAAACAATACTGAAGCCTATTCAGCTATTAAAACAAAACAAATTACATCATTATCGCAATAATCAATCCTTACACCAACTTAGAAAAATATTCTTATGCCCTACGACTCAATTCAGAAAAACATCCCCATGCCCCAGGACACAATGATAGTTACCCAAACAACAGAGACCAATCTGGATAAACCCAGCCCAAATTCTACAATGACCAACAATAACTCAGTTAACTATAAAATTAATGACCAAAACCAACTAATAGAATTATCTAATGATATCATATCCAAATTAAACCTGCTACCAGAAGGTGATACAATATTCCAACAGCAATTAGCAAGTTGACAACAAACAAATAAATGCCTATATAGTCAGGCGGCTACAAGGAGATCCCCACAAACCAATAGCTATTCAAACAACCTGTAGATTGAAGAACTAACCAATGAATTAGAAAAATGTAAATCTAAAATATTCGATCATAGTACTTGGGACAATGATAAAATACTACATGTACTTAATAATGAGATAGCCTTTAAAGAGTTTATTAATCACAAAATCCAAACAGCAATACCTTCTATAAATATATCTAAAGCTATAGCAAATAAGCTCAAATATAGAAGTATAGTATTCTTTAAATCCTTTTCAAGAGATAAAAATACACAACCAGATTACCAAGTAGAATTCAATACCCTGATAAACATAGCACTAGAAAAGTATAAACACAAACACAATATTCTGCTGATAAATAAAAACAACTGTGATCAAATTTATAATAAATTAAGAAAAAAAATAGCAATTGATGGTTTAATTTCACTAAATCTGGCTCAATATGATAACCATACCAGTGCTCAACATATTTTTTACCTCATCAGCTTTGGCAAAATTGAAACAACCATGCAGTTCGAACAGGTCTGAGGCATAATTAGTGAAACCCAATTAGCTAACAGGCTAGAACTACCAAGACTTCCCAAAGACATCCCAGTAGATATAGCAGACATATTACTATTTACTCTACCAATCAAAAATAACTACAAAACTGCATCGGTTGCCCAAACTCTAAGACTAGTATATACATTTAGGAACTTACCAGTTTCGTATTTCAAAAACACCCGCATACCTCTGCCCAGCCACTTTGGACAAGTACATCACTCGATATGAAATTTTTTTCCAATCTGAAATAGAGCCAAACTACAATTCTTATCAGAATATAGAAAGAAACTTCAAAAGCATTATATATTAAATGACAAACTACCCATATCATACTTCAATCTACCTCCTGAAAAACTTGATTTACTCTCAACACCTCAAGCATTCATCCAAGAGGTTAGGCACCTATTCTCATGCAACTCTAAGAATGACAGTGAACTTAGAGATCTAGTAGCCAAACTCCAACACCATTATAAATTTAAAAAGCTCCCAAGTGACTTTATTATCTATAAAAAACTACTTCCACCACAACTCTCACAAGTAATCATAGCCAGAAGCTATAATTTCTCTATTAAGGACAAAACAAGTGCCTTGCAATTTATAGCCAAAATTCAAAATAGTTGAAGTTAACTACACTAATAAACCAAACCTACTAGTAGAACATACACAAATTAAAGAAATGAATTTAACAATACCTATTACATCCCCTAAGCAGTTAGTCGATATAGCTTATAAATTACGTATATATTACTTCTTCCATTAACTATCAACAAACTGGATACAAATCCCAGAAAAAAAAAACTTAAGCTCATCTAGTGAAAATATGAAACCAGTATTACCATCAAGTATAGAGGATCTTTAAAGTCAACTCACAGAATTAGACCCAAAATTACAACTACAACTTCCAATTAAGGATTACAAAGAAATTAAAAAAACACTTGATTGTATTAGCACTTACTTTAACTTTACTTATACACCCAACTATATCTATGACTTACCAGATTTACTATCTCCAGACTGGGATATTGTTGACAACTATGCACCTAATACATGATGAGCGAAACAAACTCACCTACCAGCTCACTGTTAGATGAAATAACCACTAATACAGATACACTTAACTTAACATCTCTACCCCTATTTAAAAGAAATACAGATATCCAATTAGGAATCACAGTTTACAATGTTCAAGAAATTAATGTAAACTTTAAATACTCAACATGGCTACAATATTGTAATAATCTGAATACCGATATTATTATCATGACAAAAACAAAATTATCAGCTGACCATACTCACCCAGCGAGCTTAATTAATTCTTGGTTTAAAACTTATATAGCAAATTGTGATGAATATAATGCATCAACACATCAATCAGTCAAAGAAGTAGCAATTGCACTGAAACCCTACTTACAACCCTATATTCACAATATAAAATCTATACCCAGATATGCTTTAGCAATCGATCTGTTTTTCTTCAACAACAAAACCTGCATAATCGGCATTTATATCCCATCACAACTTTCTACACTAACAAATTCTGCATAACAAACAATAATTAACTGGATCCAACAAGCAAGATCCTTCAATTTTAACACAATTGTTGCAAGAGATTTTAATTCAAATTCAAATAGAAAAAAACCTTCAACTCTTATTACTTATAAGCTCCAATCTAATAAGCCTACTTAATTTTTTTAATATTAATGATCCCACTTGGCAAAACAACAATACCTTTAGCCAAATCAATGATATATGAGTAAATCAAGAAATAATCTTGGATCTCACATAACCTTCTCTTCTATCATCACATTCATCAACCAATAGTGATCACCAAATTATCCAATCTCAATAGACAATTCCAAGCAAAATCTCAATACCTCATATTAAAAAAAATAGAAGAAAAATATATATATACTCAGAAACCACACAGGATTAATGGCAGAAATTCGAAGACTATATTAACACTCTTACTTTATTGGCGTCCAGCACTTTTTTCACCATTACAAACCAAGCCTCAATGGATAAACTATAGAATAACCTTCAACAAACTATCAAACAGGCAGCCAACAAATATATTCTTTTTAAACTAACATGCTCAAAACCATTCAAAGCCTATACAGAAAAAGCAACACATTTGCACTTTGACTTGAAAAGGATGAACAAAATAATTAATATAATCAGTCACCTATCTCTCCTAGCCTCCTCGTATATTATACTACAATTAAATAGGAAATTAGCCAAAATAGAAAACATACAACCTTTCATATCCACTTTTACTGTCTCTGATCTCTTGCTAGCCAACTTTTAAAACACACTAATAGAACTTAAACAATTGCACAAAGGACTATACTTAGCTAGAAATATTGAAAACCAACAACACCAAAAACAAATAATCCACAACAATATAGTCAAATGCCAACAAAATTTTACTGATAATACTATCAAAATAATAGATAGCATTCTTAAAAGACAAAGTCAATGTGTCCAATCAATTAATATCATGACACTTTCTAATGTAATCACAGAACCTAAAGAGATAAAAGAAGCTATATTAAAACATTTCGAAACCTGAAGCAACTATATTCCCACAAATTGGAACTTATGGCCCAACTGGGAACAATACTATGCACCAATTCCAATAATTAACGAACATGATTACTCCCAGCTAACTCTACCTATCACAATTCAGAAATTAACAGATACTATAACAAAAGCCCCAACTAACAAAGCCATCGGCCCATCTCTAATATTCAACAAAATACTTAAACACCTACCCCTAGCTGTGCTATCAAATATATTTAATATATTTAACA